TAAAAAAACTTTCGCTAACAGACAATAATTCAAGAAAATATTTATTAAATTATTTTTATTATATCATCATTATGAATTTGTTTTTTATTATAAATTATATACAATTGATTAATTACATATATTTATTTACATATCTATCTAATGAATTTGTTTTTTACGTCTAAATTACAATTGATATATTATTTATTTACATACATATCTAAAAAATATATTGATTATAATGTTGATTAATTAAAATCTTGGTCATAGAGAGAAATGTTGATAATAAATTTCTACAATATGATATTTTTGAATTCATACGGCATTTCGAATTCATACGGCATTTGAAATTCATACATCAGTTGGGATTCAAACAGCAGTTGGGATTCATACGGTTTTTACCACAACCATAACCGTAACTTGCTACATGTCATACAGTTTACTGGAGAAGTTCCGCCTGCGCCTCTAGTTAGGACATTAACAATAGAGACTATAGCAATAGATTGTTGCTCTTTATATGTAAAATGTCATGCCCGAAATTTTTAATTAATGCATCAAGGTCGATTTAGACTTTTTTCTTTTTTCGCACATGTTCAGAATTCATTTTGGAATAGTCAAAATTTGTACTCTCTGATTGGCTATTTCTTTTTTAAGGATTTGTATTACTCGAGCAAATAAGTGCATCCGTCCATAGGCATGCCACCCCTTGTACATGCCCAGAGAAATGCCTTTTTTTCAAATACTGTATTTATATAATAAAAAAATTATTTTACAGAAGATTTTGGAGGCATGCCTATGAGGCATGCCCTTAAATCTGAAAAACCAAAGGTATGCCCAGAGAGTGCAAAAATACCATTCCTGATGGATTGTCAGTACTGTTCCTGATAGGGTGGGAAAAAAAATCAATTTACATACCATTCCTGATAAGGTTCTAAAAAAGACCTTGGGTTCAATTCTAGAACCCTATTAGGAACAGTACTAAAATAAAATTTTTTTTTAACTCCATCAAGATCGGTATTGCTGATCCATCAGGAATAGTATTTACATACCGTTCCTGATAAGGTTCTAAAAAAGACCTTGGGTTCGATTCTAGAACCCTATCAGGAACAATACTCAAATAAATTTTTTTTTTAACTTCATCAAAATCGGTATTGCCGATCTATCAGGAATAGTATTTTTGCCCAGAAGGCATACCTAAAAATTTTGCCGTGCCCCTCACCCTAGTCAAATGATGGTCAGATGATCAACATATAACTGATCATTATAAATAAACCCATTAGATCTTAGAGATAAGATGGTTTAACTTGTAAAATTATATGAAAATTAGGGTCTTAAAAAAGGTCCAATTCTGTAAATCCGCTGATATGTATTAAATTTCAAATATAAAAAGTTATTTCAGGTCATTTAAGAGTCATTTACAACTATTTTTAGGTCATTTAACAACACTACCCACATACACATCTATGATATCTGTCACAAGAGAACAAATCTGTTCCGGTAGAATTCGCCAACAAGCATTTCTCCGACAGCACTTTGCCAACAATCTCTAGCCAACACTAACTATAAAGCAGGCCAACTCTAACTATATCGAGCCAAAATTTGTCAGCGAAATTGGTTTATACCTAGAGTTGAAAATTACATTTTATAATCTTACATTCAGGGTTGTAAAACTGATAAGTTACAACATTCAGGGTTGTAAAACTGATAAGTTACATATCGATAGGGTTGTGTTACATAAATTACAATTTTAACATTACATGTAATTTTACGTAAGTTTCAGAAAATCAAATTTCATGTAATTTTCATGCGTCATATATAAAGCTCCAGATTTACAAAAAGTTTGGCCGGCATTATTGCATCATTTGATTTGAATGTATAATCCGAATTGTAACCCTAAATTGCCGAATATTTGATCTCAGAAACTTAATATCATGTGTTCAAAACCGCAATTACATGAAAACTTGATTTATGAAACTTACAGCAATATTATATTAAAATTATGCAAAATTGCAGTAATTTTACATCCCTACACATCGATGACCATATGGTCTGCTGTTCTGAGATTAATGGCCAAAATTAATTTTAACTCCGTAGTAATTTGGTAATTTTCTGGTAGTATACCAACCAATCTCATGGAATCATGATAACGTTTCTTACAAATTACATGACCAAAACTTACATAAGATTACACAAGATTATGCAAAATTACAGCAATTTTACGATCCTATATATACCCAATGAACCTGGGTGATCCTCACGATAATAACTCTAGCGTTATTATTGTCAACGAATAGAGTAAAAATTACCCAAACTTTACGAATTTTCTATAGTATTGGTGGTGTACCCCACTCAAATATATAGATTACTAATTCACTTGATACGAAGAAAATAGCCCTATGCGTTGACGAAGTCACGCTAGGGTTATTATCATGAGGATAATCTGATTTGTGGCTTATATGAAATTGAGGCTTATATGAAAAGGTAATAGCACATAATTGTATGCAATGGAGATTATAGATGCATGTGATAGATTATAGATACACAGAGATTATAAAGATATATGTGGGAGAAAATGGTGAATCTTAGTGCTTTCTTTCTTCGCTTGTCTTGTCACTTGTTCTCTTCGGTGCCCGATTATAATCTGGCTCTATCATGTTAAGTATAACTGTGCTCCAGTATAAGAAATGCAAAGCATACTTCACGAACAATGAACGTATTCATTTATTGGTCGTCATTTTTGAGTAACTGTAGAATTACCATGCTATCACGAATGTCCTGTTCGCAAAAAAAAAAAAAAAAAAAATTAAAACTAACTAGTCGATCTTCGACTTTCCATATAATCATATATATTCACACATTTTTGAAAACAACTATAACAATATAGACTTGAACCTCAGGAAAAAGAAAAGAGGAAAAGAAAATATGTTGCTTGCTTGTGATAGTCTCACTCAGCGGCCGCTGATCTGATGTCAGTTGATAAAAACGAAAAAAAAAAAAAAGAATGAATGAAAATGGAAAATAAAAGATGAGATTGAAAATGGAGATGCTCGGGATTTGCTTGTTGACTTGCAGTAATCTTGCTCATCTACTTGCCCTATGCCGCTCATTTGATGTTAAGTGGGTAAAAATGATTCAAGAAGAAAAGAAAAAACTAATTAAGAATTGGGTGCTCGGGACTTGCTGACTTGTAGGTGATCTGGCTCAGCGACTTGCTCTACGACACTCATTTGATGTGAAGTGATAATAATGAGTCAATGAGAAAAGAGTGAAAGAAAATATGAGTTTGAGAATTAGAACTTGCTTGCTGACTTGTGGGTGATCTGGCTCAGCGATTGGCTCCACGACATTCATTTGATGTGAAGTGATAATAATGCGTCAATGAGAAAAGAGGGAAAGGAAATATGAGATTGAGAATTGAGATGCTCGTGGACGTGCTTGCTGACTTGTGGGTGGCCTTGCTCAGTAACTTGCTCTATGACGCTCATCTAATACTTGTATAAAAAAAAAAAAAAAAAAAATTTACAAATAATGTGTAGCGGATTACATGCGATAGAGATACATGCAACAAAGATTACAAGATGCATAATAGCGTAAATTATGAAAGCCCACCCGTCCATCCTGTTTACCTATGGTGCCTTATACCCATTATGTATCTTCATAATCTCTAATAAAGAGAGTGTTTAATATGACATCTGAGAGAGAATAATTGAAAACATGAATATAAGACATTCATTTACTGTATTATAAATCGGCAGAGGTGTATGTCTTGATATAACATACAATGATTTTGTTGAATATTTTTATCATAATGGAATTGGTGTTGAAAAGAATAAACAAAACATTCGAATATTTTCAAAAATCTGCAGATATAGGACACGCTATGGAACATATAGTGTTGGACGTTGTTATGCTGAAGAAATTGGTGTCAGAAAGAATAAACAAAAGACATTCGAATATTTTCAAAAAGTTTCAGAGATGGGACACGCTAGTGGAACATATAACGTTGGATGTTGTTATGATTAAGGAATTAGAGTCAAAAAGAATGGAAAAAAAAAACAAAAAAAAAAACAAAACAGAAGACATTTGAATATTACTTTAAATCTGTGGAAATTGGTGATGCAGATAGTAGGAATGTGATCAAAAATAAATATAAAATTATATAGATTCCTCACAATGAATTAAAAGATATTAAGGAGATTGGAAAAGGTGGATTTGCAACTATATACCATGCTAAGTAGAAATTCGATGTTGCACTTAAATTAGTTCATAAATCACAAAGGCGATTTCAAAGATTAGTTACTTGTTTATTATGAAATTGAAAAAGAATTCTTTATTCTTAAAATATTACGGGGTATCCAGAAATGAAGATTACGTTCTTGTTTTAAATTATACAATTATGGGTTTCTTGCGTAATAATCTCTTTAGAGTATCACGACTGGCATAGAAAGAAAAGCTAAATTCGTTGCATTTATTTCTATCAATCTCTAATTGATTCATTCTCAAGACCTTATTTATCGAGATTTGCATAGTGATAAAATTTATATTTACAGAGTTATACCTTATATCGCACCAGAAGTTTTAATGAGACAAAAGTTTACAATAGCCACTAATATTTATGGTCTTGGAGTTATCATGTAGGAAATATCTCCCAGACAAAGACTATTTGATGATGAATCATATGATACTGATCTTGTGATGATGATTTGTTTCGGATTACAACCTGAATTTATTCCTGGGACTCCAGAATGTTATGTTGAATTGGCCAAGCAATTGAGATAGCATTGACTCGTACCTTCAATCCATATCATCATATGTCAAAAAAAAAAAAAAAAAAAATCAAGAAAAATGCCATGGCACGTTTTCTTCTTCACTTGTATCTTGCCTTACTACTCTCATATGATATGAAAAAAGGGAAAACAAGAAGCACAACCAACTTCACGAGACAGACAACCACCAACCACCAAGATCAAAACAATAATGAAACACCTCACGATATACCCAATAGCGAGAGGTGATATGATATGGCTTGCCTTAAGTTTCTATCTTCTTCTACGAACTTGGGGCTTATTCTTCAGGCTTGTGCTTCATGGTCTTCCATTATGCCGATTTTGGGTCTTGGTCATGTTTTGTCTCGTGACAATGATTTTCCTGTGAATGGAAAAAAAAAAAAAAATTGGAGCAAGTTCTAGAAATGAGAAAGAATAAGATCTGCATTCTCAAGTATAATGGAAGAACGCATAACAATGAGGCAGTAAATCCTATGAAAACCGACCATCTTGAAAAGATAAGAAAAAATATGAAAGAAAATAAGGATTCACTGTTCCCAGGTTAAGAGAAGTTCATGACAACAGGTGCGGTAAATGCAATAAGCTAGAGGGTAAGTAATTTGGTCATAATATATGTATAGGGGTGCAGCATGTGCAATGAAGACCGGGCTAATACTTTCTATAATGAGCATCAGTGGGTGGCTACCCACAACTGGTGGTAAGGTACCTTATGCTGGTTTTGACTACGCAGAAAGAATAGATTTAGAAGTCCTCTTGGCAAAAAAAAAAAAAAAAAAAAGAAGAAGAAGAAAAGAAAAGAAGATTTGGGATGTCTCCCTGGGTTTTACTTCAGCAAGAATAGTTAGAATGCTTTCCCGGTCCTTACTTCAGAAGGATAGGTTTAGGCATCTCCCCGACTTCTTACTCTAACAAGAATGGCTTCAGAATGTCTCCCTGGCTTCTCCGTAATCTTCCTCTCTGTGATCCCAATTGATCCTCTGTTTGTCTCCCATTATGTATCTTCGTAATCTCTAATAAAGTGAGTGTTTAATATGAAATCCAAGCGAGAATAATAGCCCTATGCGTTGACGAAGTCACGCTAGGGTTATTATCGTGAGGATAACCTGATTTGTGGTTTATATGAAATTGAGGCTTATATGAAAAGGTAATAGCACATGATTGTATGCAATGGAGATTATAGATGCATGTGATAGATTAT